AATCTTCTAATGAGTGCATCTGGCGCTTCAGAGTCTAGTTAATTTCTTGCATTCAATTCTGATTTGCTTCTGGAGTATTAATTTCTTTACTATCTGCAGTAAAAACTCTAAAGCAAATTTTAGAGTATATAATTCTTAAATACAAAATTTCCTAATAGTTATCATCAAAACATAGAGATATTATTAAGAACCAATCTGTGTTCTAACAGGCCCTGGTCCAACAAGGTATGATCTCTATTACTCCAAATAATATGTTGTAATGAGTCATAACAGGTTGGTAATTTCCCTCCATGCTCCGGTATTTCTGATCCAAATAATTGGATATATGACAATACCGTCCATGATGAGGACGAGTATCATCCTGACCCTTTTGCTGTAGGTGAACCCGAAGAGGAGGAGGCGGCCGAATTTGAGCAGTTTGTTCCTCTTTAGGAGGAGCACATGTATACTGGTGCGGGAAGCTCATCCACTGCTGATGAAAACTGATCATGGGTACATGGAGAAATCGGGCACCTCAGGGCTGAGCAAACCTGTCAAGCGGAGGAACAAGCTTACCAAGGGGCGCTCATGGACGATATGCACAGCATGATGCAACAGTTGATGTTGCGTTTTCCTCCCCCTCTGTGAGGCCCTGTGAGTCCCCTCTTATACGTGTTCTAAAACATTGAGGTCAATGTTTGGTTCAAGTGTGTGTGTGTGGCAGGGGTTATTGTATTTTATTTTAGTATTTATAATCATGTTATTTCAGTTTCATTTTGTTGTCCTTTACTTTGATTCAATATGTGTTGTGTAATTTGTGTTACAGATAGATGGGATTTGACCGGATGAATGATGAATGAGTAGTTAGAGGATGAAAGATCCAGACTTGATACTTAGGCATTCCAGAAGTTGATATAACTAAACAATTGTCGGACGCAGCTTGATGACATCGAACCGAGAGTGGAAGGTTGACCTAAACCAGAAAAGAAGCAGCATTACATGAGAAGTTCTTTGGAACCTGTAAGTTGTACCCAACACGGTGAGCGCACAATAAGCCAAATATTACATCATCATGAGAGTGAATCAAGTATGACTTTATCGCTTTGAATTTGCGTACATTCTACTCACATAGCACTACATGAGAACACACACTAAGGCAACTATTTTTTTTTGTGTTTAAGCCCTGAGCCTTTCTAGCCTTCCCTTTATTATATTTATCCTTTACTACCCCCTGTCGAGCCTGAATCCAATTATTTGTAATACCCACCAACGTTAACCCATGGCCAAACACTACCTACCCTGCTCGGCATATGTGTTGCAGTTATTGAATTTGTGCTAAGTTCTAAGTTTGGGGTAGTACGCCTACGTTAAGAAACGCAAGTGCGAAAAAAAAAAGAGAAATATGTATATCATAAGGAAGAAAATGTGAAGACACTAACATGTCTTTATAAAAAAGAAGGAAAAAAAAGAGCACTTGCCTAAGCGTCGATAAGTCACAAATAAAGGGTATGATGGAATCCCCATGGTAATAAAACAAGCACAGAGAAGAAATAACAACATCACGAATGTTGAGCCTAAAAAAAATTGTTGTGTACCCGCTTCCTTATTTATCCCACCGTACCTCAGCCCCGTTACAACCCAAAGACCTTAAAAGTGTGTGTAATCTGTCTGTGTAATGAACGTAGAATTTATTCAAATTTAAGAGTTGGTATTGCATATGCTGAATTTTGAGTGAAAAACACTTTAACCCAGAGAGAATTGGTGAGAAGTGTGAAAAGATTGCAAGTAAAGAAGTACTTTGATATGGAAGTGCAGCGGACAGTTGGTTTCGGGAAACTGGACACTTGACAATGAGGTGAAAAGCAAGTTGCGAAAGACATTGGTTGTATTGTGGTAAGAAAGAATTTTGGGGTGACCTTGTTTTGTCTCATGCACTGCTTGAGGACAAGTAATGAGTTAAGTTTGGGGTTGTGATTGGTCACCTATTCTACTTACTTTCCGTCAGTTATTCGGCAAGAATTATGTTTAATCGATAGCACTTTGGGTTGTTTCTTTTTCGTTTTCCTTTAAATGATTAAGTTTTCGCATTATGTCCGCTTAAGTTGTTTTAGTTTAAATTTATGTTAAATAAAATACTTTTGAAGTCTTGGTCTAGTAGTTTTGGTGATTTCAGGTCCATGGGAATGATAAGAGGAATAAATGCGAAGTCGGCTGAGTTCGGGAGGATTTTTCTCAAGGTCAGAGGCCTGACACGGGTGCCCGTGTCACCTGACACGACCCGTGTCAGGATGGGAAGAGGAGAGCAGCTATAGGGAGAAAACAGTAGGCTGACACGGGTGCCCGTGTCAGCTGACACGGCCCGTGTCAACATGCCTGAGATTCCATTTTTTGAATTTCATGACCAGTGGGCCAACACGGGTGCCCGTGTCAACTGACACGGCCCGTGTTGGGAAGAGCGAGCATATTTCTGATTTTTTTGAATTCTTGCCAATGTTAGTGCATTAAGGGTAGTTTGGACATTGTGCATGGAAAAGATTGATCTGATACTATTAAGACGTGATTTCTGAAAGAGAAAGGGACTTTTGTGGATCGTACGAAAGGGTCACACAATAAAGGGGGGTTTGAATTAGGTTTCCAAAAATAAAAACTTATTAAACCTAACATAACAAATAGAAAACAAGGAATAAAAATAGTGGAATAATTATTTTTATACTGATTCCTTATAACACAAGCTACCTTCAATCCACCCGCCAAGGTGATTTTGCCTTATCAACAAGGACTTAATCCACTATAGTCAAACTTGACTACAACACAAAGACCAATAATCATGTCTTCTTAAGTATATAGACTAAACCCTAGTCACTAAATGAACAAAAATACAATCAAAAGATTGATACAAAGTGTGTTTACAAGATGCTTCTAAGAAAGCAGAATACACAAGTGAAATACAAATGTCACACAAGAATTACAATGAATATTACGAACAAAAGTTCTTTTGTGAGTGTTTCTTTTCTCTCAAAATATTCCCAATAGCATTGTTCACGCAATATAATAGTGTCGTAAGAATTCGTTCAAGTGAGGTACTTTCCTATTCTTCTAAGTCTTCTTTATATAAAAAAATGAAGAGATTTGTTGGAGGATAGAATTGGAATACCAAAATGCAGTTGTATCCTTGCATAACGATTTATGAAAATGAGAGACAAAATGGTACAACAGTACAGTCCTTATTCCACAAAATCAATATAGTGGAAGGAATATTTGATCTCGTACTATGTATTATTTTTCTCACATAAAACCTTTTGATCTTATCTTCAATATTCAGAGGTTTCTGATAAGTTAGTGATGAAGCATGCATAAGAGAAAAGTAAGAATCTGGTTGAGAGAATCTTCAGAAACTCTGGTCTTTAGAGTCTTGATCTAGTTCTTTAGAACATGGTCTTCAGAGTCTGTTGATAAAGATCAGAGTTGTTTTAGGCGCAGAGCTTTAGAGCATAACAGCTTCACAATATCAAAGCCTTGGATAACTAGATGTCAGAAGTGTTGAGTACAAAATCTAGGACTTGATCAACTTTGTAAACACATAACCCAGAGTCAGAGAGCGCTAGTTTTATAGTCTAATGATGTCACACGTCATTTAATCAGAATTGTAACTTGAATATAAAATATGCACGCTGAGCAAAATTATTAGGGTACAAAATTGTTATTTACAAACACTATGTACTGTTATCATTAAAACATAAGACCAAATGCATAACCAAATCTTATTCTAACAATCTTCACCTCTATTCACTTATTTTGATTCTTTACTCATTGATATTAGACACGACTACGTAAAAAAAAATAAGATAGGTTTGCTTTTTTCGATTTAAATATTTTTGAATGGGTTTTGGTGATACCCCACTCTTTTTATAGTGATACCCCACTCTTTTTATATATCAATCTTTTTCTTTAATATATTTAACTTTACATTAAAAAAATGTGTTGAATTTAATAAAAATAACTGTTAAACTAGATGATAACTATGAAATAGCATATATTATTTTTAATTCATATTTATTTAATTTTCAGTAAAAAAAATATAAAGTCAAACAAATATTATAAACTTCGAAAAAAGAAATTTATCAAACAAATTTATATTCTTAAAAGTAATACAAATTTTACAAACCACGTCTCTTTTTTCAAACTAATAAAGTATGTTTTATTTTCGTATGCAAATTTGGCCAGTATTAAAGAATTTCTGTAGATATATTTTTTCCCATTTTTTCATGCGCAAAAGAGGAATAATTTTTCAAAAAGTCTTTTCTTGAAAATAATAAAAAAGTAAAGTAGTTTGAAAGTAGACTTTCCTTTTATTTAATTTTTTTAAATGGAAAATATTAGCTATAAATTTCTTTATTTTTATTGTCAAATGGTTTATAGGTAGAATTTCGCATATTAAAAATAAATAAGAGAAATATTGCAGGTTTGAAATTCACTCTCTTTACAACCAAGTTAGCAATACATCTCGAATACATTATTATTAATAAAAGTATGTCACTTTTTAATATCTATATAATAAAAGTTAGAAGAAAGATTTACTCACATTGAATATATATATATATATATATATATATATATATATATATATATATATATATATATATATATATATATATATATATATATTTTAAGATTTTGAATAAATATGTATTGTCAAAATATTTTTTTTTATTTCTATCATCAACTCAATTTTATTTTTGCATTTTTCAACCATCGTTCTTGCTCTCGTTACTCTCTAACCACTATGATATTTTGATATCATACATTCCCTCAAAATTTAAAGACATTAAATTTTCAAATGTGCTGTTAATTCCCATTTTGTTTATTGTTTGATAGGTTTATTGAACAAATAGAGCATATACATCACATGCAATGAAGTGGAAATGGGGAATTTTCAATACATGTTGAATAATCACTAGTTATTAGCCAAGAAAAAAGTACTTAATTTGAAGCATAAAAGTGATTATCTTGTTTTTCAAATCATGTCTAGGTGTCTACCCTTCCCTCCTCCAAATTATATGAAGAATGGCATAGGGGGTGAAGCACTTCTACAACAATTAGAGGTTAGTTCGCAACTTTTTTATTTTGAGATTATTAAAAAAATTATCATTCTTATGCTTTCATTGATTGATTAAATTGTTTTAAAAAGATGCGTTGATAATTGAAAGAAAAAAAACATCATCATTAGATTTTTATTTAAACGAATTGATTATTTATTTACTTGTGTTTTTTCCGAAAATTTGCACATAATTTTTGAAGAAAAAACATGAACTATCGTATTTTAGTGTTTTTTTTATTTAGTTTATACGAAACATTGTGTTAGATATGTCATTTAATTGTAATTTAATTTAATAAAATTGATTTTGAATGAACTGATTTTATAAAAATACACGAATAAGTCTTAATCGTGTTATTCTTGTTTTCGATTTTAAAGCTCCGAAGAGTGAAGTGCTCAAAGGAAAAAGAGGAAGAAAAAAAACATAAGAAAAAGGATAAGAAGAGTGAAGAAGATGATAAGAAGTTGAGAAGAAGCCATGAAAAGAAAAGAAGAAATGATGATAAAGAGAGTGAAAATGAAGATGATTCCAAGAGAAGTGATGAGAAGAAAAAAGAAAGAAGAAGAAGAAGAAAGGAACAGAAACATGATGTTGAAAAAGTGGTGACACATTCAGAGTATACAAACTTGACTATGAATTGGGTTCCTCTTGAGATGCAAATGGTTCTAACTCATTTAGAACATGAAGACTGGCTATCTAGAAAGAATCATTCCAATGGTGAAAGTGAAAGAAAAACCACTGAACAAACCGAACATGTCGGAAACAGGTGCTGCACTGACAATGGCAGCTGTCGAGGAATCCAACCATTCGCGACTTATTTGCCTAATGCTGACGTATATGCTTTGCCGTACGTCTTACCATTTTGATTCAGAATGGTAAGACGTAACGCAAACAATAGCTTGTCTTTAAAGCTTTTTTTTTGCAGGTATGTTGTAGTGTTGAGAATCAATGTACTAGCTATGAGTTCATTTTATGACTTATTATGAGGTGATCATTGAATCCATGTTAGTGTCACCAACATTAATTTTGTTCGATAAATAAAGTAAGAAATTGAAGAGCATTAACAAACCTCAAAACTTTCACCATGTCTCTCTAAATCCTCCAAACATTCATAGTTGAGAAGATAGATTTATCAGTTAATTGTTGCTGTTCTCTATACTTCTATATCAAGTAATGCAAGGTTTAGGTGCAACTCAGCATTTGAATTCGGATAAACTTCGTCGTCGACGTTTTCTTCAGAATGACAGCGGTCGATCTCCTGAGATTTAAACAAGTTTTTGTCTTTCTCGTCGCATCCTTTCAAGATTTTTAGTATCTGCAATAACAGAATTGAGTTCATATAGTATTTTCAAAGCTAAACTCGAAAAATCTATCAGTAATGTCACTGGTATTACCTGATTCATTGTAGGACGAAGCCGCGCAGACCGTGTTATGCATAGAGATGCTGCAAGAACCATTCTGTTCATTTGTTCTACATCAAACTTCCCTCCCAACTTTGTATCCATTAGCCTTTTAACATCTCCACTCTCCAAAATCGGTTTCGCCCACGAGACCAAACTCTGGCGTCCTTTGCATGCTTTCGAGTGGATCGCTTCCCTCCCTGATATGAGTTCAAGTAGGACAACACCAAAGGCATATACATCTATCTTGTCACTCACTTTTCCATGCATGAAATATTCAGGTGCGAGATAGCCAAACGTTCCTACTACGTCGTTTTGTATCGCAAACAATGAAGTCGTTGGTCCCCACGTGGAAAGTCCGAAATCACATAACTGTATGTCACATTAAGAAGAAAATAAGACTAATGAATGTGTCACATGACAATCACAAAATGATACTAATGAATGGTACCAAAGTTATTTATCAGTACTTTTGGCTCGAATCCGCACGAAAGAAGAATGTTGGAAGATTTGACATCTCTATGTATAACAGGCTTGGAGATTTGGTTATGCAGATAGTTCAGTGCTTCCGCAATCCCAACAGCGACCTTAAATCTCATCTCCCATGGCAATGTAGATCCATCCTTGTTCTTACCTATATCCATTTCGATCATAAAATAATCTAGTAACTTATATTATTTTTATCGAGAAAAACGGTTAGTGTTCATATGCGTGCTAGTAGTTATAAAGATAGATGAAAAGAGAATGGAACTAACCGCGGAGATTTTGGTCTAAGGTTCCTTGAGGGAAATAATCATAAACAGATATCAAAGATCCATTTTCAATGCAAATTCCGAGTAAAGGAGCAATGTCTATGTGGTTCAACGCGGACATTATTTCGACTTCAAGAACGAAATCTTTGAAGGCTTGCATTGATGACTGCATAACTTTGACAGCAACTTGCTTTCCATTAGGGAGAGTTCCTCTATACACGCGATTGCTACCTCCGATTCCAATCACATTTTGTTCAGAGAATCGACAGGTGCAAGAGTTGAGAATCTCGAATTTGAAGCGTTTGCAGTTATTGAAACTGTCGACATTTTTAGAGCTCTTGTCCTCAAATTGAGATGAAGACCGGTCTGGCAAGTTCATCACCCATTGCACAACAGACATGTCTCTTGAGGTTTCTGTATGCGTCCGATGACGGAGTAGTGGCCATCCAAGCTTCTGCGACGACGACAATGATGACACTTTCATGATCTCTTGTTTGAATGTTTCTTCCTCCAATCTTTGGTTATCTTGTTGAATTCTTGATTTCTGATTCTCCGAGTTGTCTTCGAATGCAGACTGGACCACCGCGCTGAGAAGACTAACTCGCGGATCGTCTGTAACGTCGCCTATCGGAATCATTTTCATAGATGGAAACAAATTTAGTAGAGTAGATTTTCTTTGAAAGAAAAAAAGAAAACTAAAACACATGTACCTTTTACTACAAGCTATTGGTGCTTATTTATATAAAGTAGGTGGCTATGAGATATGATAAAGAAATTGAGTTGAAAATTGCATGATACATTGGATGTAACAAAAGACATGAAGAGATGACCAAAAAAATGTTGAATTAAAGCAAAAGGAATAAACGATAAACGAGAAAAGACAGGCATTGTTGGAGGGGAAAGAAAGAATGTTTTATAAGAAACTCAGTTGATGCCAAATTGCATGATGCAGTAACATGACTTGGAAGAAGAAGAAGAAGAATATACAAACACAACTACCGATTACTAATATTATATTAGTACGAGATATTAGATTAGTACAAGTTAGGGGTGTTCATAATCGAACTGAATCAATAAAAACTATAATTGAATTGAATTAAATCAAAAACCAAAAAAAGTATATATATTTGATTTGGATGTGTTTGGGTCATTTTTATTTGAATGATGTGGTTCAGTTTAATTTGCGGATTGTATTTTGTAAACCAAAGCAAACCAAATCAAATTGTATTATGTTACAACTCAAACTTATTATATCTTAACCTTACGATTACGAACGATTTTCTCTTCCTCACACTTAGGATTTCAATTTCAACCTCTCACAAATATCTCCTAGCAATATCGTGTTTTCTTTTCATTTTCTTAGTCAAACACATCTCAGCTTTTCTTCTCTAATATATCATTTCTTATATTCCTTCTTTTTCATCTATTGTTGATAATAATAAGTCAAGTGTGAGTTCGAATTTCACATTGGTTATAAATGTGGAGATTTGAGCATTTATAAGTGTGAGAACCCAAACGTTTATCACCTTGTGGCTTAGGGTGAGTATGTGGTGTGTCTCTTACAAAAGTGTGTTGCTTATAAAAGAAAAGCTCCAAAGTAAAAAATATTCTCTTATGTTGACCCCTGAATTAACTCCAACGATAGTATCAGAGTCTGGTTCGAGTGAAGGGACGGTCTCACTTTATCGAAAGCATTTATAAGTGGAAGAATACACACAGAAAAGGTAAAGAGTTTTCACTTGAGGGGGTCCATTGTAGACACACACTTGAGGGGGAGTGTATTGAGAATAATAAGTCAAGTGTGAGTTTGATGTCTCTCTCACTTGTATGTTGCTCTTGACCTAATGTTGATGCTCCTCCTCATAACCTAACATATATTATTGTTTTCTCTTATAATTCTACTTTTATCACACTTCTTCTTCTCTAATCTCTCGTATCTTCTTCTATTCTTTCTTTTTTATCTTCTTTAATCTCTCATTTTCTTTGCTTTTTTATTATAATATTTTTTATATTATTTTATACTACTATTTTATATTTTTTATTCTACTTTTGTCTAATATAATTTTTGTATATTAAATGGAAAGTTGTTGTCCAAATATAATTTATTTTGTTGTTCTTTAATAATGTATGAATGATTAAAAACAATTTTATGTTGTTCTGTATTAGTGTGTGTATAGCTCAATAAAAATCTTATAAAAAAATCCGAACCAAACGAATCAACTTAAACCGCATTTGTTTTGTTTTATTTGGTTTGATTTTATTTCTAAAATTCAACCGAACTAAACCAAATCACATATTTTTCTCTTATGATTCGAATGTTCTTTAACATTCAAACTGCACCGCAAACATCCGCAAAACTAAATTGAATCCTTTGGTCAATGTATTAGTTTGGATCCTTGTAGATTAAAAAAAATATGACTTGTGGAGAAATTAGATTATGTGAACATTTTTGTATTCAAATAAATATATTTTGAATTTAATTTACAACAATAATAATTACATATTTTACATTCTCTTTTTAACATGAATTTTTTTTCTATAGTTTTTGCTATTATATTACTTACCTATATCACATCTACTTACCTATTTCATCTTTATTACATAACTTCCTTTTTTATATGTGGTATTTTGATCGAATTCTATTATCGACAATGGTAGCTTTATGGTTCGACAGAAGTTGTGTATACTGTAGTCAAAGTTTGTTCGAGCATAATGTCAAAATATATTAACTTGTAATTTAAGTTAGTATGTTGAATTGGGTTTTACTTCTAAGCCAAATTGTTAAGTTAACTTGTATCCTAAGTTAGCTTAATAGTCTATAAATAGACTAGTTCTCTCAGGTTGTTGAGAGAGGTTAATTGTTGGTATTCACTTGTAATCTTTGAACCCTTATTGAGAAAGTAAATAGTAAAACAGTTTTAACCAATTCTTATTCTTCTTCTTCCTTCTTTTCTATCTTTTGTGAAACCTAATAGGGTTTCTTGTATTTGTTCAAGAAGCTCAATCTTTTTCTCATATGTTGGTTTGTTCTTGACGACATCAATTCACAACAAACAGATGCGGTGAGCGTGTAGGAGAAGATGTCATCAGCAAAGTATGAGATTGAGAAATTCACTGGTGTGAGTGACTTGACGATGCAAGTCCTTCTTGTTCAGCAGGGTTTGTTAGAAGTGTTAATAGGATCGGAGAAGATGAACGATGCCCTATCAGAGAAGGAGAAGACAATGATGGTCGGGAAAGTCCACGGTGTCATTGTATTGAGCCTTGGTGATAAGGTTCTCCGGAAGGTTTCAAAGGAGAAAACTGCAACGGATGTGTGGATGAAGCTTGAAGGTCTGTACATGACAAAATCGTTGGTTAATCATCTCTACCTGAAGCAAGATTTATATTCATTCAAGATGAGTGAAGACAAAGTCTTGGTTGAGTAGTTGAATATGTTCAACAAGTTAATCCTTGATCTTGAAAATATTGAAGTCAAGATTGATGATGAAGATCAATCGTTGTTGTTGTTATGCTCTTTACCTAAGTCTCGTGCTCACTTCAAAGAAACTCTCTTGTATGGAAGAGATTCGATAACCTTTGAAAATATTCAATCTTCCTTGTACTCTAAGGATTTGAAAACACAAAAGGAGCACAAGCCATCTTCCATTGGTGAAGGTTTGTCCATTAAGGAAAACTTCTTGAAGAATAATGGTAGGTTTAAGAAGAAGAAGAAGAAGAAGAAGAAGAAGAAGAAGAAGAAGAAGAAGAAGAAGAAGGAGGATAAAGTTCTACAGAATTCTTATGGTGGTAATGCTCCTACTATTAAGTGTTATCATTGTAAGAAGGAGGGTCATACAAGAAAAGTATACCATGATCGACTGAACAATCATGGTGGAAAGGATAATGGTCATGCAGCCATTATGCAAGATGGTTATGAATCATCTAATGTCTTGGTGGTTTCAAGCAGTGATTTTTGCAAGGAGTGGATTACAGATTCAGGGTGTACCTGGCACATGACTCTAAACAAATACGTGTTTGAAGAATTATGTGATCAAGATGGTGGATCAGTTCTGCTGGGAAACAACAAGGCTTGCAAAATTGCAGGTATTAAATTTGTTAGATTCAAGCTCCATGATGAGTCAATAAGGTTATTAACTGATATCAGGTATGTATTTGATCTTAAGAGGAATTTGATTTCCCTTGGTGAATTCAACAAGAAAGGATATATTTTAAAGGATATCAAAGTATCCTAAGGGTAATGAAGGGGTCGAAGGAAGTTTTGAGAGGCGTGAAGAAACAAGGCTTGTATACCCTTGAGGCTGAGGTTGTAAGTGGTTCAGCAGACGTGGCATCCACAGAACTTGTGTCGAAGACTGGGCTACGACATAAGATGCTTAGCCATGTCAGTGAAAGAGGTTTAATCGAATTGTTGAAACAAAGTTTGTTAGGTGGTGATAAGGTCGAAAAACTAGAGTTTTGTGAACCTTCTGTATTTGGTAAATCCTGTAGAGTGAAGTTTAACAAAGGTAAACAAATAAGACATGAATTCGTTGATTACATTCATGATGATCTTTGGGGGCCTGCAAGAAATCTTTCACACTTAGGTGCAGAGTATTTTCTATCCATAGTTGATGATTACTCCAAAAAGTTATGGGTATTCATCCATAAGACTAAGGATGAAGCTTTTAAAATTTTCAAAAGTTGGAAGACTTTGGTCAAAAATCAAACTGGCATGAAAGTTAAGAGGTTGAGGACCGAAAATGGTCTTGAATTTTGCAGTGAGGCTTTCGACAGCTATTGTTATGTGTCTGGTATTGCAAGACACAAAACTACTGCAGGTACTCCCTAACAAAATGGTTTGGTTGAAAGTTTTAATCGAACTTTTTTGGAAAAGTGAGGTGTATGTTTGTAAGTTTGGGATTGAAGGAGGTGTTTTGGGCAGAAGATGTTATGACTGCAGCATACTTGATAAATAGGTGTCCCTCGACAACCTTGGAAATGAAGACACCTTAAGAAGTTTGTTCGGGACGTCCACCGATTCTCGACAGACTTAGAATATTTGGTTGTTTATCCTATGCTTATATTAGGCAAGTCAAGATCGAACCTAGAGCTCTGAGATATATGTTCCTTGGATACCCTGAAGGATTCAAATCTTATAGGTTGTCGTGTCTAGAGCCAAGTCACAGGAGGTGTATCACAAGTCGATATGTAGTTTTCAATGAAGCTGATATGTTCAAGAAAAATGATGACATTGGTCGAAGTTCGAAGATCTCTGAAGAAGAGCTGAAACAAAAAGAGATTCCTATTGAGGTGGAGCATAGTAGTGTTGAATTACATAACCCATATGAAGTCGAAGAAGATGCAGAAGTTATTGTCGAAGCTAAGGAAACTGATAATGACTACCTGTTGGCAAAAGACGGGTCGAGAAGAGTCATCAAGCCACCTCAGAGACTTGGTTGTGCAGATCTTATATCTTATACCTTAATCATTGCAAGTGAGGTTATGGATGAAGAACCTAGAGACTATAAGGAAGATATGAGGAGTTGAGACAAGACTGAATGGATGAAAGCCATGGATAATGAGATGAAAACTTTTTATGGTAATAACACTTGGGAGTTGATCAAGAAACTTACAAGAGTCAGGTTAGTCAACTGTAAGTGG